TTGTATGCAAGATCCAATTTTTCCTGTATTTTTTACAAAATATTTTCAACATATTGCAACATTCACCCATCAGGAGACTTTTGTGGAAATTCATCTTAATTCAAACCAGAAATTAACTCCAACCATTAAAGTATAGCTTTCACCACCCCAAATGTTTTCCACACTTTTTTTCCAAATAATCAAAGTGCCATCTACAAATTGAAGAAAAGATATATTAGGACATATCCCTCCTAGTTTGAATATCTTAAAATAGTCAATTTTTATCGGTTCTTTGAATAACAAGCTAAGACCATTCGGCTGCAATTAGGAATAAAAAATGGAGAAAGTGGATTTTCTTCTCTAATTCTTCTTCCCATATGAGACTCTTTAATAGGGTAACCATTTACCAAGGCAAGATCCTAGTAGACTCAAAACATCATTGTATCCAACCACTCTATTTTTTTTAGGCAAAAATACATTTCTCGTCCCTTATATTATTTATTAGTGTCAATTTAGTCTCACTTTAATTAATTGAATCAATTTAGTCCCTCATCTTTAAAATGTATCTCAATGTTTGACCTTCCGTTTCTTCTATTTAAATACTTAACAGATCTCACACGTGACATGATGACATAACACGTGACATGATGACATAACACATGTCAACATCTATTATTTGAGTTTATTTTAGATTAATAGAGCATTATTAGAATTTCTACGGTTATGAATTTTAATTATAGGAATTATAAGTGTTGTTACACTTTTATGAGTATTTACATTTGTCATTTAGTTTTATGTTTATGAGCAGAATTTGTATCAGTTTTCAATTGTGTTTTGTGTATTTAAAAGGTTGCAAGTATGAATAAAAATATATGAGTTTCAGCCTTCTAATTTTTTCTTAATCCCAACAAGTGGTATCAAGAGCTTGCTTCTTACGGGCTGTGAGGAAAAGTTTATTGAGCGCTAAACACATTGAGATTGAGTGCAAACACTAAAATGAGTGATTTATTGTTTAAACAATTTTTGGTGCAAGGATGTCTACTTCCACCAATTCACCTGCAATTCTAATGTTTAATGGTGAAAATTATCATATTTAGGAAAATTATCATATTTAGGAAATAAAGATGAAATTTGTTTTAAGATCTCAAGGCTTATGGAATGTTGTAATTTTTGAAGCTAATCCACCACCATTGAGAGAAAATCCAACCATTGCACAAATCAAAGCTTATGAGGAGGAGAAGCTGAAGAAAGATAAAGCCATCACTTGTCTACACGCAGGACTTGCAGATCATATTTTTACTAAAATCATGGACTTGGAAACACCTAAACAGGTGTGGGACAAGATTCAAGATGAATTTGAAGGCAATAGTAGAGTCAAATCTATTAGACTTCTCACATTGAAGAGAAAATTTGAATTGATGAAGATGAAGGATAATGAATCTGTTAAAGATTATTCTGGCAGATTAATGGATGTTGTGAACCAAATGCGACTTCTTGGTGAAACATCATTTACAGATCAAAAGGTTGTCGATAATATCATGGTTTCGGTGCCTAAAAGATTTGAAGCCAAGATTTCTGCAATTGAAGAGTCTTGTGATTTGCAAACTCTCACAATTATTGAATTGACTAGCAAGCTTCACGCACAAGAGCAAAGAGTCTCCATTAGAAGTGATGAAGTTATTGAAGGTGCCTTTCGAGCAAAGCACAATGGAAGGAATTTTGGAAAGTCACGAACTTTCAATAAGAACAAAGGAAAAGGTGAAGGTTCTTCGAGAAAAGGAAATTTTTTGCCTTGTTTTCATTGCCAAAGAACCAACCATTCTAAAGAAGATTGTTGGTTTAAAGATAAACCACTTTTTCACTATAATTTTTGCAATAAAAATGGTCACAGTGAAAAGTATTGCAGATTAAAGAAGAATCAACTTGAACAACAACTAGAAAAATAGGCAAATGTGGTTGAAGAAAAAAATGATGATGAAGATGAGTATTTATTTATGGCATCTCAAGAATTCAATTCACATGAATTGAATACTTGGCTCATTGACAGTGGTTGCACTAGTCACATGACTAAATATTTATCAATTTTTACCTCCATTGACAAATCAATTGAGTCAAAAGTCAAGATGGGAAATGGTGAAATTGTATAAGCAAATGAAAAAGGAACAATTTCTATTGCAACCAAGAAAGCTACTATAATTGTTAAAGATATTCTCTACATTCCAAAATTGGATCAAAATGTTCTTAGTGTTCCACAAATGCTAAGGAATGGTTATGGAGTCTCTTTTAAAGAGAATTAATGTTTTATCATGGATGAACATGGTTTAGAGATTGCAAAGATTGAGATGACCAAAAATGGTTTTTATTTGAAATTTGATTTGATTTAAGATCATGATTTTATTGCTAAAATTGATGAGAATAATGTTTGGCATGGAAGATTTGGTCACACTTTTATGCAAGATGTATTTGATATGACAAATTCCAACAAATGGTATTCAAAGACAGGAGGAGGAGTTAGATTGAATGACAGAAGATCAATTGACAGACATCTTCACAAAGGCACTTCCAAAAGGAAAGTTTGAGAACTTGAGAGGGAAACTTGGAGTTAATAGCTACTGATACAAGGAGGAGTGTTGAGAATCTGAATCAACATCTATTATTTGAGTTTATTTCAGATTAATGGAGCATTATTAGAATTTCTACGGTTATGAATTTTAATTATAGGAATTATAGGTGCTGTTACACTTTTATGAGTATTTACATTTGTCATTTAATTTTATGTTTATGAGCAGAATTTGTATCAACTTTCAATTATGTATTTAAAAGGTTACAAGTATGAATAAAATATATGAGTTTAAGCCTTCTAATTCTTCTTGAATTCCAACAAATCAGATTAATGGAGCATTATTAGAATTTCTGCGGTTATGAATTTTAATTATAGGAATTATAGGTGCTGTTACACTTTTATGAGTATTTACATTTGTCATTTAATTTTGTTTATGAGCAGAATTTGTATCAGCTTTCAATTGTGTTTTGTGTATTTAAAAGGTTGCAAGTATAAATAAAAATATGAGTTTCAGTCTTCTAATTTTTTCTGAATTCCAACATATCTTTTGCCTCTTTTTGCCTTATTCACTATCTGATTTGCAAGAAGCACACCTCCTCTTTATGAATGGTATTTAACTTTTAGATATTACTAAAGATATAATCTTCCTCAACTTGTTAGTCATGACTTTTGCAAGAACATTGAACATTCACCCTATTAGAGATATTGGCCTATAGCCCCTAACTTGTGTGCATTTTTTTAGGCACAAGAGTAATGAAAGAACAAATGAATCCTTTGACTAATTTCCCATAACAATGAAATTCCTCCATGAAATCAATAAAGTCCTTTTAAATTGTATTCCAAAAGTCCTTTATAAATTTAAAATTTATTCCATTTGGACTACTCTTAGAGCTCTCACAATTTCATACTACTTCCTTTTCATCAGAAACTATGTTCCAAGTCACATAATAATTTCTTGCCAAGATGGTTAATTGGTCATGGAACCACAACCCTTGTTGGCATTTTTTGAGAAAAGATATAGGCTTTCACCAATCTAAAACCCTATGCATGCTTTAAGATATATTTGTTTTTTGACCCCTAACAAGAAATGTTGCATGGTTTCTAAAGCCAAAAATTATATTTATTTTGATGAATGAAGGTTACGTATCTGAATCACCAAAGATTGGTTGTATAGTTTTTTTTTTCTCTTTGCCTTCAAACCTATATTTCGTCAATGAATATCTTAAACTGTTTACATCAAATAGATTTGAATGTTATGACTGTATTCTACGTCTTAAATGCAGGTTTTCTTGCGGCATTTGAAGAGTGAGTACAGAAGTTAAAGGCGAATGGGAGGGTTGTTTATCTTATCTCTAGTGGCTTCTAATAAATGATCATTGTATGATGAATAGTTGTATTAAGTGGTTTTTCTGGTTCACTTTGGACTTATAGGAGGAAATCAATATTTTATCTTCATATTACACTGCCTTTGAAAATATTTGAAAAATAGAACATACACTCCTTTTAGGAGCATAATCTTTGAGATAACATTACTTCTATTAGGATTATTTTATGATATTTGTTTAAAGGGATATTTATATTTATCAAGAGGACGATTATAATTGTTATTTTTATAATGTTATTTCATACACAACTCCACAATGATGATATATTATTCGCTTTGTATTTAAACCCTCACGGTTTTGTTTTTGGTTTTCACCTGAAAGAGCCTAACCTTTTATGTAGAGGAATATGTCTTTGTATATCACATTATGCAATATTTATCAAGAGAAGGATTATAACTTTGTTATTATAACTTTGTTATTATAACTTTGTTATTTTTATAAGGTTATTTCACACTCAACTCCACAATGATGATATATTGTCCACTTTGGGGTTAAGTCCTCACATTTTTGCTTTTGGTTATCACCCAGAAGGATCTAACCTTTTATACAACGGAATTTGTCTTTATATATTACATTATGCAATATTTATCAAGAGGAAGGTTATAACTTTATTTTTTTATAGGTTTATTTCACACACAACTTTACAACAATCAGATATTGTCCGCTTTGAATCTAAGCTCTCACAATTTTGTTTTGGATTATCACCCAAAAGAATCTAACCTTTTATCCAGTAGAATTTGTCTTTGTATATTACATTGTATAATATTTATCAAAAGGAAGGTTATAACTTTGTTTTTTTTATAAGATTAGTTCACACATAACTCCATAATAATGAGATGTTGTCTGTTTTAAACTTAAGTTTTCACGATTTTGCTTTTTTAATTGTCATTCAAAAATTCTCTTAATCATTAAAGTATACTTATACTTTATAAGTTATTAATTATTTCTCTTTTTATTTTATTGATGTAGGACATTGTTTATATCCCAACAATTTTCTCCACACTACACACATCTCTTTCGTAATACAACTAAATTTCAATTTTAATTTAGAATGTGGAGCGAATGTGAAACACTTGATGAATTTTGAATATTTTATTGTGCATCAGAAGGGGGAATTAAATATCTGATATTAAAATATGGATCAAGACCTCTTCTATATATATCCCTTAAGACAACAAGGGAGCCATAATAAACCATAAATAGTTCACAAACAATTCGTGCTATGAATCTAGTACGAAGCATGATTATTTTTTGTTGGTAGTAGTAATGGATCTACCCTATAGTCTAGTTATCAATTGCATAATGAGTAATCTGGATCACATCCTCAGGCCGAGAAGGTGGATTGATCTTGTTCTTCATTCTCAACTCCTGGTAATCCTTATATAGGAATCCTCTATACTTTGGTGGCTCCCCAATGTCTTTGGTGAATTGTGACAATGGTTCAACCCACTTGTCTCCTATTATGTTATGGAAGAACGCATAAGAGTACCTGCTTCGTCCTTCTGTTCTCACTACTCGGTAAGTTGCACTCTTAAACTTTTTGTTACTCAAGACCTTCAAAAGATGTCAAACAAAACTATTTAGATTGAAAGATGACATAATAATCAAACTTGCTATCGTGTGTTCCTAAGTTCTAACTTCTTTGTTATTAATGAAACACAATAACATACTAAACCTTATTTTAGTTAGTGGACGATTTATGTAAAATTGTAAATCAAAGTAAGTGTATCCTTGCTTCACTTTAAAGCCAAAAATATAAATGTAGTAATGTCAAAGTAATTAAGTTATATTTTTTCACAGAATCCTACTAGGAAAGTATTTCTATTGGAGACACTGTTGAGCATAAAATGTAAACAAATCTTCTACTGAGAATTCGAATTTTAAACTCATTTCGTCAAACATTTAGATAAACTTCTTTATAAGTATTAATAGGTAAGAAAAAATAGGGACCTAAATGACCACAGTAACTCTAAACATGCAATAATTAACTCTAGTTTGCTAAAATCTGTGTGATACAACAAAAACAAACAGCCCAATGTTTGGTGCATTTGAAAACATAGAGTTTACCTGGATAATATTGCCAACATTGACCACAATAGCACCTTCTGTTGGAACAACAGGGATCCACTCTCCATTCTTACGGATCTGCAAGCCTCCAACTCCATCCTGGATAGCTAAGGTAATACAATTGCTATCTTGACGATCTGTGATTCCATTATTCTCATTTTTGGAAGCAGCTGGGAAGTAATGGAAGGCCACCATGTAATCTCCACTCCTGTCATGATTGAATTCCTTCAAGAAGTTGGTAGGGAGACCCAAGCACTCGTTTATAATGCTCTCCAACAGCACACCCATCTTGCTCATTTGTACAAACATTTCTTCAAGCACGATCCTATCACATTTGGCACACATTAGACACACCCCAGTCACAGATCAAGAATTTAAATGTGTAAAAAACATTACTAATACAAAAAACATAAACTATTGTATATGATTTCAAATTCTTGAGTTGTTTAAGTAACTTTTTTTGTTTTAACTATGCATGATGGATACAATGTAGATTTTAACATCAACACTTGTCATATTACAAAAGTGTTCAAAGGCTGAGAGTTAATCCAAGTTTTTTTAACGATCCATACACACATTTGATAATATATTAAACAAATAAACCGATGAGAAGTGATTGAGTTAACCTGAAGTTGGGAGGGTTTGGAGGGAAGACATTGGAGCTGGATCCTGGAGGAAAGACCAGCAAGAACTCGTTTTTGTCTGGGGAATGCGGAGGCCTCCGATTGTAGCCAGGAGGGAATAGTGCACCAGAGGAAGCACTGCTCTTGCTCTTTTCTTCATAAGAGTAATCAAAAAAGGTCTTAGATAGCTGCAAGGCCTCTTTAATCAAATCTAGTGAAAGCCCATGATTCACTATTTGGAAAAAACCATATTCAGAACAGGCTTGAGTGATTACTTCCATGGCTTTCTTTTTGCTATCCTCATCCTCTCTCAGGAAAGGAGAGAGATCAACTACTGGAATGCATGTCTCACCCATCTCTTCCTTCCTTCCTCCAAATTATGAAACCTCTATCTGTGGACAGTGTTGTATTTGGCACCCTACCCCATATACCATATATATTTATATGATTTCAATCTGAAACATGTCAAGTTATAGCTTTTTTTTCTTCAGTAAAATAAAAATAATTTGTCTAATTTGTTTTAAGCCGAGGTTACTAGTTGCTTTCTTGGATCCAATGTTGGTAACTTTGCCTATGTCCTTAAGTGTATTGGAATCTGCAGTTTTTGTTATAACTTTACACAGAGGTTCTGCCAGTTTGAGGGCACGTCCAGTGCATGCATTGCTTCAAGCCACCTGTAGATCAGTGACTCACAAGTCACAATGCATGATAAATATTTGGTATATAAATGACAAAATTTGATGCATAGGCAATTAGAGGCACTTAAATTCAGATGCAGCAGATCATACAACTTATTCGAGTAGCATTACTTAGTTGAACATTCTTAATTTTATATAGAAAATCCACTCAGATGCCTTAGTCAAGAACATGCAGCTTATTCAAGTAAGAGAATAAATTAAATAAAACTGAAATAGAATTAAACATTTGCCTCGGTGATCATTTCTCATTTTGTAAGATGCCTCCCAAAGTAATCCTGCACGCTAGGAAACCGCTATATATACAGTAAATATAGCAATTTTACTATTGTAGTTTCAATGAAAAAAGCGGATATACCATTAGTATCTAAAAAAATGCTCAAGGGGCGAATCCATAAATAACTTCATAGGACAATAAATAGAACTATAGTCAGAGAGACAATTAACTAATAACTGGCGTTAGTAGCTCCATCTGCTAACATTAGTTATAACGACAAAGGGTGGCTATGCTCATCCCTAAAGAACAGTTGCATACTCCTACAAACCAAAAACAAAAAAGAAAATCTTAGAAACTTTTTTATTAAAGCAATTTCACCACCAAAATTATTTCATTAACTTCATTTTAGTATTGATCAGTAATAAAGTGTAATTCCTAGTAGATGATTCCATCAGAATTTTTTCAATAGTAAACTAACTGGTAGTACAGAATGCACATTAAGAATATAACCAGAAACCATTACATTCCATAAAAGTGTAGATGCAAAACTCTACAACATTTGCTAATCGACTGACATTTTATACAAGAAAAAGGTTGAAAATTGTATATCAATTACCGCATCATCAGCTTCATCCTCATCACCTTCCTCTTCGTCAGGTTCTTCGTGTATTAATATAATTAATTTTTGTAAGAATTGAAAGAGAGGATTTTTATTAATTTGTTTCATGCTCATCACATTTTTCTTTTTTTTTTATTATAGAGATACATTTGTCCCTAAAACAAATAAATATGAAAATAAATAAATATAAAAGAAATAAGAAAAAATCATATCGAATATCCTAAAATAATATCAAATCTCCTAAGATATTTTTTTTTAAAACAGTAAGAAATACAAGGAAAGCAGAATATTTTCACAAAAGAAATACAAATGGTATCAGAACTGACATTGAAATAAGTAAGTGGGTTTGTCCATAAATCATCCTTGATTAATTCTGAAGGCCATAGAGATAAATATAACAGTAAGATTTATGTGATACAAATACACAAACTATTAAAAAAAAAAAAAAAAAAAAAGTTCAACTTTGATAATAGAGATGAAAAAACAACAGCAGGATGCTGGATGCACAACTAATTATACAAACCACCAGACAAAATATACCTCGTCGTGAATGTGATCCATACCATTATCATCTTTCTGCTCGGTATCACTAAGCCAACTAAAGAAGCTGCATACATTAGCACAAAGAAAATAAAAATAATGATTTATTTGTTTCAAGAACTGTTAGCAAAACGAATTTTGACAATTTTTACATAAAAATCATTAATTGATCACTGAAGAATGAAGGGTAAAACAATGTGTTCAATTTATTCATTTATAAATGTAGAATATAACAAAATATTGAAGATAGAATCATACATTAGCAAATTGTCAAATAATTGAATTAATTTCCAGATTTAAACTAACAGAATAGCAGTAGAAGACAAGTTGAATTGATAAGTGACTGATTGACCTTGTTGAATTGGTGTCAATTATAATAATATCCAATAATTATGATATGTATGTAATAACTTTTGTCATTTAAATACCAAATGTTTATCATGCATGCAGTGTGACTTGTGAGTCACTGATCTACAGGTAGAGCGAAGCATGCAGTGGTTGTGCCCTCTGATTGCAGAGCAGACTGCATTAAGAGGCCTGCCAGAACATCATGTGTACATGTTATAACAAAAATTGCAGATTCCAATACACTTAACACCAACATTGGATCCAAGAAAGAACCATGTAAGCTCTCTGCTTAAAACAAATTAGACAAATTATTTTTATTTTAAAGAAGAAAAAAAGAGGTATAACTTGACATGCTTCAGATTGAAATCATATATGATATATGGGGTTGGGTGCCAAATACAACACTGTACACAGATAGAGGTAACATAATTGAAGGAAGGAAAGAAAGATGGGTGAGGCATGCATTCCCACAGTTGATCTCTCTCCTTTCGTGAGAGAGGATGAGGACGGCAAAAAGAAAGCCATGGAAGTAATCACACAAGCCTGTTCTGAATATGGTTTCTTCCAAATTGTGAATCACGGTGTTTCACTAGATTTGATTAAAGAGGCCATGCAGCTATCTAAGACCTTTTTTGATTACTCTGATGAAGAAAAGAACAAGAGCAGTGCTTCATCTGTTGCACCACTTCCTGCTGGCTACAATAGGCATCCTCTGCATTCCCCAGACAAAAATGAGTACTTGCTGATTTTTCCTCCAGAATCCAGCTTCAATGTCCTCCCTCAAAACCCTCCCAACTTCAGGTTAATTCAATCACTTCTCTTCAGTTTTTTATTTTTAATAACCATCCTATTACTATGAAGTATTCACTTTTAATAGGATCTCTAATCCCAACCATTGTGATCACTCATAATATTCTGCACTCCTCCAAAAATAAATGTTAATCAACAATGTCAAACTGATTTCTTTTTCTTTCTTTCCTTGTTTTAAAGTATCATATCAATTGTGTAGATCATTAAAAAGAATAAAGGAATTGAATTGCGTTAATTCTCAGCCTTTGAGAACTTTTGTGAATATATGTTAAAATCAACATTGTCTCCTGTTAGGGTTATGATATGGTCGATCAGTCTATGATTTATATTATATTTTTCTAAGAAGAAGGTTATGTCTTGCTATTCTTATTAGGATATTTAGAGATATTTGATCACAACTCTACAATGGTTAGATATTATTTATTTTGGGTTTCACATTCTCATGATTTTACTTTTAGTTATCATCTAAAAGATCTCTCAACCCATAATGTATGTTCTTTATAAATCTTGCTTCTCTTTTTGTTCTAACGAGGAATTTTGTCCTTATTCCAACAACTCCATCACACATAGGTTAAAACAAGCCAGTTAAACAACTGAGGAGTTTGCAACCATATAAAAAAAAAGGTTTATGTTTAGATATTAGAAAAGTTTTTTACACAACAAAATTCTAGATCTTTGACTGTGGTGTCTCTAATGTGTGCCAAATGTGATAGGGACGTGCTTAAAGAAATGTTTGTGCAACTGAGCAAGATGGGTGTGCTGTTGGAGAGCATTATAAACGACTGTTTGGGGCTCCCTACCAACTTCTTGAAAGAATTCAACAATGATAGGAGTTGGGATTTCATGGTGGCCTTGCGTTACTTTCCAGCTTCCAACAATGAGAATAATGGAATCACAGAGCATGAAGATGGCAATTGTGTTACCTTTGTTATCCAGGATGAAGTGGGAGGCCTGCAGCTCCGGAAGAATGGAGAATGGATCTCTGTTGTTCCAACAGAAGGTGCTATTGTGGTCAATGTCGGCGATGTTATCCAGGTAAACTCTATGTTTTCAAATGCACCAAAATTATGGGTTTCTTTTGTATCATATAGTTTCAAATTCACATAATTACAGTTACATTACTGCATTTGTATTTTTGGTTTTGAAATGTAGCAAGAATAAACTGAATTTTATCTACATAAATCGTCCACCAACTAAAAATAAGGTTTAGTTAGCTATTGTGTTTCATTAGTAACAAAGAAGTTAGAACTTAGGTACAAGTGATAGCAAGATCAAATATAATGTTATTTTGGGATCTAACTAATTTTGTTGACACTTTTATTTTGAAGGTGTTGAGTAACAAAAAGTTCAAGAGTGCAACTCACCGAGTTGTGAGACCAGAAGTACGAAATAGGTACTCTTTTGCATTCTTCCATAACTTAAAAGGAGACAAGTGGGTTGAACCATTGCCAAGATTCACCAAAGACATTGGGGAGCCACCCAAGTATAGAGGATTCCAATTTAAGGAGTATCAGGAGCTGAGAATGAGGAACAAGACCAATCCACCTTCAAGACCTGAGGATGTGATCCACATTACTCATTATGCAATTGATACCTAGACTCTTGGGTAGATCCATTACTAGCAACAAAAATAACCATGTCCTGTTCTAGATTTTCTGTACGGATTATTTGTCAACTATTTATGATTAATTGTTGCTCCTATGTTGTCTAAACTAATCTGAAATAGGTCTAGATCAAAATTCCAATCAGATATTTCCCCCTTTCGTGATGCACAATAAAATATTCAAAATTCGTCAAGCCTTTATAGTTCATTGTTGCTCCTATGTTGCCTAAAGCATAAGCTATCTTTGTATTTGTATTATTGTTTTTTGTTGTTTATTTGTATGTTTTTTTTTTATCGAACCATCAGCTCCACATCTCTACCGAGGTAGTATATTGTTACTTTGGACTTCAACTCTTTTAAATCTGCTTTCGTTCATCAATCTAAAGACCTTATATCAATTATATTAATGAAGTATTATGTGCTTTATAAATCCAAATTCATTCTCTTATTTTAATGATATGGGACTATATTTGTATATCAACAAATTAAAATTGGAGTTTTAGATGTATTATGCAAGAGAAATGTATATGAAGTAACATTAATGTGTTAATCTCAAAGATTATGGGTCTCTAAGGACTATACGTTTTAATTTTCAAATATTTTCAAAGGTAGCATACTATAAAGATAAATAAAAAAAGTTAAATTCACAATTTGTTATATTAATTATTGATTTCCTCTTATGAGTCCAAAATATCCCAGAGAAACAACCATCCTATTGGTCACGATCTATTTGGTGGTAAAAATATGATAGGATAGGATAAGATATTGTGTTATAATCTGATGTTTATCATGTTAATAGGATATGATAGTTTTATTCTATTTTGTTGATCTAGTGTATTTTTTTTTTATCTTGAAGGAGTAGTTGGATTAAGAATCAACAAGATAGGATAAGTTTTCTTCTTTCATCTCTTTATGCATTATGCCACATGATATGATATTATATTATATAAAATAACAAAAGAAATATAAGATTAAAATATTTTTTTAATCTTATAATTTCACCTATTTTACCTTTTAGTCTCTTTAGTTTAAGATAATATTTTTAGTCTTATACATGTAGTTTTGTGATCCTTTTAGTTCCTATAGTTAATTTTGTTAGAGAAAAAGATACACGTTAGAAGGGGGTTGAATAGTGTATATCAAAAATTCGTGTTTTTTGAAGTGTAGTGAAGTGGCAGAAGTTGTGACACACGAAGTACTAGAACGTGATTTAATTTTGTTTTTATAAGAAATCATCTTCGATTAATAGATGATTTTACTAGTACCACATGCATGATAAGATGTTCATAGTCCGTGTTCATTGCATAATACATCTTAATGTTATGTGGTATTTAATTATTATGTCATGAAAGGGTGAAATGAGTTATTATTACCAATCTTTCTATGTTGTGTGTGTGTGTATTTGTGTGTATATATATATGTGTGTGTGTGTGTGTGTGTGTATGTCTTATTTGTGTTTGCCTATCGGACAACATCTTACATCGTGAGTCAAAGTGAGATATTTCTCAATCCCTTTGATTTGTATTTGTCTCTATTGTATATTCTTGCAGGTGATTTACATCATGATGTTGAGGATGTTGTTGGTGAGGCCTAGTTCTTATAGTTGGGATTATGCTTTGTTAGGATGTAACATCGGGACTAAGTTAGGGATTATCTTTTTTTGTCATGTTTTGAAATAATTATTGGTTTTCTTGTAATAGATTTTATTGGAATTTTAGTTGATTTTGTTTTGTTGAAAATGTGATACCTTCTATGTTGAACACATTAAATTTTATTTATAAAAGACTTTTCTATTTAGCTTTAATGATTTGTGTGTTATGATATACGGGGTAGATGGTGTCAGTGATATTTAAGGAACTAAAATTATTTTGGAAACTAAAATCACATAATTGTGATACTTGATAGACTAAGATTGCTTGATTAGAACTTTAGAAACCAAAATTACACAATTGTAATATTAGAGGAATAAAAACACAATTAAGCCTAAACTACATTTTGCATTAAACTTTCGATTTCTAAGAATGTCTTATTTTTTTCATAATATAAATTAAAATTTATTAGAGTAAAAGATCAAGTCATTTCTCATTTAAATGAAGAAGAAGCAAAAGCAATAATAGATGAAGGAAGAAATCCTTGAAGCTTTAACAATCACTTACTCAAAAAGGACTATATATAGTAGAGGATACTCAAAGAGAGAACACAACTAAACCATTAAAATCACTTTTATATAATCTCTATGTTTTGCACACTGTTTTTAATATTTGTTTTTGATAGAATAATTTATTCTCTTATTTGTCATTCTTATTTGCTAGGAAGCCTACAAATGATTATTGTAAAATAATACTTGAATTGTTTAAAGCCTAGAGAGACTTTGTATGAAAGAAAACTTTCGTTTTGTTTTTGTTGAGAAAGGAATGACTTAATAAAAATACTTGTAAATAAAGCTAAAGCAATGGAACTTCTCTATTGTTCAAGAATTGGACATAATCTTAGTGGTAGGGTTTGGAAGTCCTAGTCTCACTTTTTGTGTGCATGGAGTGTATCTTGCGCGACTCAACTATTCCAACCAAAACCTAGTAGTATATCCTCCTAGTAAAAGTGTGTTGAAGGTGTGACCTAGCATGTACTCCTAGGCTACTTAATAATATATAAGTGTGATATGTGATGATTTTACTAGTACCACATGCATGATAAGATGTTCATAGTCCGTGTTCATTGCATAATACATCTTAATGTTATGTGGTATTTAATTATTATGTCATGAAAGGGTGAAATGAGTTATTATTACCAATCTTTCTATGTTGTGTGTGTGTGTATTTGTGTGTATATATATATGTGTGTGTGTGTGTGTGTGTGTATGTAATAACGCAATGTTAAAAAAATTTGCGACGATTTATGATTAACTGTCACAATGTTTAACCAATTTTGCGACGGTTTACGATAAACCGTCGCAATGTTAAACAATTTTGTGACGGTTTTTGATAAACCGTCGCAATGTTAAACAAATTTTGCGACGGTTTATGATAAACCGTCGTAATGTTAAACAAATTTTGCGACGGTTTACGATAAACCGTCGCAATGTTAAACAATTTTGCGACGGTTTTGAAAAACTGTCGTATGAAGGGTCGCAATATCAAAGCGACGACGGTTTCTAGATAACCGTCGCAATTTGTCCGTCGCAATTTATCATTTTCCTTGTAGTGATAACTGAAGGGCAACAAATGAAGAGACACAAGTATTTTATATTGGTTCGTCTCAAACCCAAAGACTACATCTAATTCTCAATCCAACCAGATTGAATTCTACTATGTTGAACAAGATACAAGTACTCTTTACACAAGCCACTTCTAGCTCAACACCAAATATTCTTTCACCAAGTCTCTCTAGGCTCAAACTCAAGTATTCTTTCAACAAATCTCTCTAAGCTCAAATCTAATTATTTTTTTACAACAAGCCTCTTCAAACTCAACACTAAGTATTCTTTTTCATAAGTCTCTCAAGACTCAACATTAAGTATTCTTTTGCACAGGCTTCTCTAGGCTCAACACTAAGTATTCTTTTACACAAGTCTCTTCAAGTTCAACCCTTACAAATAAGATTGATAAGAGTTACAAATATAGCTTCATTTCTTCTAAACGTAATGCTATGAAAATACAACACAAATTGAACTGCAAAGACTATATAGAAGATTTACAATGAAGATCTTCTTTGTAGTATTTCATCTTTGTTATCAAAATGTTTGAATAGTTTGAACTACTCAGTGAACATTGAACTATACAACACTTTCTCTTCGTATGCGTATATTTTGAAACTATCATAACTATTTTGTAGTATGAAGGCTTGATCATTATATAGTAGCTTCAGAAAAGATGACCGTTACAGCAACGTTGAGTTTAAACAATCAAATTTCTTCACAGGTTGTTTCGTCTATCTTCCTTATTGATCATAGAGATTACCGTTGATACATTAAATGCTTATCAATGAGACATGTATCTCTTATCTAATCTAGACATTTTCTTATTATCATTTTCTTCCATTTTTGAGTGTAGCGGGATAGTGTCAATGCAGAGCAATTGGGGTTGGTGTAGAGCAATCCTTTTCAATACCTTTTCTATGATATCCAGGATCTTGCTTTTTTTCATCTCACAGATACTTTGTCTTTTTTCTCTTTAATGCACTTCGAGAGTTTCAAAGTTCCTTTTTGTTCAATCTATTGAAGAATAATACATTAAATGAAGTTCATCGTTAGTCATGCATAATAGTATTCATTTAATATCATTATACAGACTGTATATTTTGTCTAATTTTTTTCATCTTACAGATGATATGAGTTTTCTTCACACTTCATTTGATATGTTTTATCTTTGAAAAGTGTTGACTTTTGCTTAAAGAAAATCTTTTATTTGTCATCATTAAAATTTAAAAGAATCATCTGTTGTCTTAAAACATGATTTTTATTTAACAATTTTTTTTGTAACATTGTTTGTTTTGTATTAACATGATAAAGGTCTTTAATTTGTAAGAGTAAAAAAATGGTCTCAACAATGGACGTTACATGCAAGAATATAAAGAAGGCATGAACTGTAAAAAAAGATATAATTTAGAGTAATTGCAGAAAGAAAAGAGATAACGTTATAGAAAAAATTGACAACAGAGACTAAAAGGATTAATGAACTATAAGTATAGATACTAAAAAATCTATCTTAATATATAAGCTTTTCCCATGTCTTTTGAAGAGTGACTCTTGAAGTTCAAGACTAATGAAATGGTTGTTTATTTGATCTTTGGTGGCTTCTACCAAATGATAAATGGAGGGAGAAGGGTTTAATTAATTAGTAGTTTTTTATTTTTCATTTTCGACTTATAGGGGGAAACCAATGGTTATTATAACATATTATATTGTGAATTTGGATTGACATGTTTATCTCTATAGTACACTGCCTTCGTAAAATAGAACATGCAATCCTTACATGCCCATAGCACAATTTTACTTCCCACACATATATCTATCATAATTCAACTAAATTCCAAATTTGATTATTAGAATGTGGAATGCATGCAAAAAGCTTGATGAATTTTGATAAGACCACTTTTATATCCTTTTAGGCCACATGGGAGCAACAATGAACCATAATATAGTTCACAAACAACCCTGAAACTCGAACTGAGCATGACTATTTTTGTTGCTAGTAAAGGATCTATCCAATAGTACGTCTAGGTATCAATTGCATAATGAGTAATGTGGATCACATCCTCAGGCCGAGAAGGTGGATGGGACTTGTTCCTCATTCTCAATTCTTGATACTCCTTAAATTGGAATCCTCTATACTTAGGTGGCTCCCCAATGTCTTTGGTGAATTGTGGCAATGGTTCAATCCACTTGTCTCCTGTTAAGTTATGGAAGAACACATAAGAGTACCTACTTCGTCCTTTGGTTCTCACAACTCGGTGAGTAGCACTCTTGAATTTTTTGTTACTCAAGACCTTAAAAGAAATGTCAACAAAACTAGTTAGATCCGAATATAACATAATAATCAAACTTGCTACCATGTGTTCCTGAGTTCTTTATTACTAATATAACACAATAATATACTAAACCTTATTTAGTTGGTGGGCAATTATGTAAATAAAAGACCTTGTATCCTTACTTCATTTTAAAGCAAAAATATATATACAAATTCAGTAATGTCAAAGGAATTATGTGATTTCTTTTATTCTCCCCGTGAACTAATTACTTGAGAAATAATTGTGGTCAAGGCATTGTTGAGCACTAATGTAGACACATCTTACACTGGGAATTCGAATTTATACTCCTTCAATCAAACTTAACTTAAAAATTTATTTAGATAAATTTTTTCATAATTCCTTTAGAGAGAGAGAGAGAGAAAAGGAGAAAAAATACAATGAGTCTCTAAAATTAAGTTATTTATAAGTTGTAAACAAGTTCTTAAAAAAGTTGGTATAAATAATTGTTATAAATTAGTTTATATTTAATTTAATTTTAGTTTATAAAAAAAAAAAGTATTTCATTTTCCATTTCTATCTTTTTCTCTTATATGTGTTAACGAAAAAGTTTATTTAAACGGACTCTATTTTAATTTGGTAAAAACTATGTGATACAACATAATCAAACAAATCTTAATTTTTGTGCATTTGAAAGCATAGTTACCTGGATAACATCTCCAACATTGACTACAATAGTGCCTTCTGCTGGAACAACAGGGATCCACTCTCCATTCTTCCGAACCTGCAAGCCTCCCACTCCATCCTGGATAACAAAGGTAAGACAATTGCCATCTTCATGCTCTGTGATTCCATTATTCTCATTGTTGGAAGCTGGAAAGTAACGCAAGGCCACCATGAAATCCCAACTCCTATCATTGTTGAATTCTTTCAAGAAGTTGGTTGGGAGCCCCAAACACTCGTTTATAATGGTCTCTAACAGCACACCCATCTTGCTCATTTGCACAAACATTTCTTCAACCACGTCCCTATCACATTTGGCACACATTAGACACACCTCAGTCAAACATCTAGAATTTCATTGTGTAAAAATTTTACTAATATCTAAAGATAAACTTTTGTCTATGGTTTCAAACTCTTTGAGTTGATTAAGTAAACTCTTTTAACTGTGCGTGATGCAGAGAATGTAGATTTAACATCAATACTTATAATATTGACAAAAGCTTTCAAAGGCTGAGAGTTAAATCAATTCAATTCCATTAGTTTGGTAATGATCCATACACAGGTGATGTGTTGGAATACAAACAAGTCTTACATCGATAAAATAAGAAGAAAAAAAATAACAACTTATAAAGTACATACATACCTCAATAATATGATTCTTACAAAAAAAAAACAAAAAAAGAGAAAGAAAAAGGATCGGTTTTACAAGATGTTATATCCATAATTACTCACTTCTTGATTTTGACTTAATACAAACTTTAAAATATCATCCCTAATTATTCTAGTACCTCTTCCTATAAATTAATAGTTAGAACGTTAACAACAAAACTTCAATCTAATGGGTATAGATGATTAGTTAGAATATTCTTCAAAGATCTAAACATACTCACTTATCCTAGACAATTTTATATGCTACTCTAGAATATATTTCGAAAAGTTAACCTTAACATGTTTCTAGAAATTGGACTTATATCAAGAGAAATAAGATACAAAATCAAGTTTCTATTTTAACAGTGTAAATATTCCATGTTAATAACATAATTATTATAGAAAAAATAAAGAAATAAGCTCATGAGAAGTGATTGAATTAACCTGAAGTTGGGAGGATTTTGAGGGAAGACATTGAAGCTGGATTCTGGAGGAAAGACCAGCAAGTACTCATTTTTGTCAGGGGAATGAAGAGGCTGTCTATTGTAGCCAGCAGGAAGTGGTGCATCAGATGAAGCACTGCTCTTGTTCTTTTCTTCATCAGAGTAATCAAAAAAGGACTTAGATAGCTGCAAGGCCTCTTTAATCAAATCTAGGGAAACCCCATGATTCACAATTTGGAAGAAACCATATTCAGAACAGGCTTCGGTGATTGCTTCCATTGCTTTCTTTCTTCCATCCTCATCCTCTCTCAGGAAAGGAGAGAGATCAACTGTGGGAATGAATGCCTCATCCATCTCTTCCTTGCTTCTTCCCAATTATTTAATCTCTATTTATGTATAGTGTTGTATTTGGCACACAACCCCATATATCATATATGAATTCAATATAAAGCTTGACAAGTTATAGACATTTTTTTTCTTAGAAATAAAAAAGTACTATGTCTAATTTGTTTTCACTTTTAATAATGAGTAAAGCTACATCGTCCGAAAAAATTGTGTTCGAAACTTAAAATATTAATATTTTTTTAATAAATTTGTTATAAAATAATTATTTAATTTAATAATTTATAATTTAAATTATTATTTTATATATTCGGACAAATTTTCGAAGGATTTATCATTTTTCTTTAATAATAGGTTACTAGTTACTACTAGTTGCTTTTTGATCCAGTTTCGGTGGTCAAGTTTGGAGTTTTGCCAATGTCGTTAAGTTTATTGGAATTTTCAATGTTTATAAATTTATAATAGCTAATAAGCATTTATAGTTTATTTGTGGGGTAGAGTAAGCTGAACTCATAATTTGTTTATAGCAAGCATCTTTAGGTACAATGTTTATAGCGACCTGAACTCGTACTTTATTACAACGTTTATAATAAACATCACAAATTCAAATAAAATGGTTAACAACGAATCGAATACTTTTTCAAAAAAATAATAATCGAATACTTATGCATCTAAATTAAAATTGGAAGCTATTATATGCACATAGAGGTTGTGATTGCTTCACTCTACACAAGTCACAGTGCCATGATTAACAATTGGTATATAAATGATAAAAGTTGTTACATATAAATATGGTATTATAATGTTTTTTTCAGTCCAGTCTAATTTTTAGAACCATGATATAACGACTTAAAGCGAATATAGATAATTAAATGATAATTGTGAGTGGTTTCTGCGACTCCTTTAAAGTTTGATCAGGTGAGATGTGGATGAATTTCGCGATCAGATTTAGGAGAAACAAAGTACTTCATATATTCATAATCTGTTCATGCTTAAATCTGATTTAGTTATTCAATTTTTAAAAATAAAGGTAGATAGTGTTGAAAGGTTTCACATTACATGCCTTAATTCTTGGGGTGTAGCTTATACTACTAAACACTTTCATCAGGTAGAAGATCCATCAAAGCACGTCAAGGCAGCGAAATTGCTTTAGATCTATCCATACTCATCATAAAGTGAAAATTGGGGTTCTTAAATTAGGCTGGATCAACTAACCACTAAGGAACTTTCCTAGCACTGAATTCTACACCAATACCCTATCAAAAACTCATTTATGCGGATGATACATGTCTTAATGTCATATGGTTTCATGCAATTTCAATTGTCAAGCTCAATTGTATCACATTTGATGGGGGTTATTTTTATGGTATTTGTCTGAGAGGATATTTTATGAATTATTTTTATAAGGTTATTACACAAGCATACTCCACAATGATGAGATATTGTCCGCTTTGAGCCTTAGCCCTCACGGTTTTGCTTTTGGTCATCACCCAAAAGGCCTCTCAATCATTGAAGTATGTTTGTATTATATAAGTTGTTATTTGTTGTATTATTTTATCGATTCAATCATTGAAGTATGTTTGTATTATATAAATTGTTATTTTTTATCATATTTTATCGATGTGGGACTTGTTTGTATCCCAACAATTTCAACTTGCTAAATTATGAAACTTTTCTTAGTTACTTAGCAAACGAGAGATTGTGTCCCAGTAAGGCTAGAGTGACCCAAATTTGTTTATGATACAAGTTTTATTGAAGTGAGTCAAAAAAATCACATTTAATTCAAGCTTGAAATTTATAGGACAAGTCAAATAATTTATCGCACAGGTACAAACTAACCCAACGAGTCTGACCCATTTTGTCAATTCTACATAACACTACAATTGATTATTAATGATAATGAGATACCTCAAATAATTGTAATTGGTAGAGATAGTGTTTTGATTAAAGCATTGCAAGTGATATTTCCCTTACTCTTTTAATTTGTTATGTCATTTTCATGTTAATAAGAATGCGAAGACTATATACAAGTTGGTAGTTTACCCAAAGGACAAATGAGACTTAATCATGAATGCATGGGCCGATATTATGAATTCTCCTAATAAGAGTGAATAGATGAAATATTTGTCATTATTTGAGAAGGTTTGCTAAAATTTTCCTATTTCTGATAATTATGTGAGAATTCTCATAAGGAAGCTTTTCCTAAGCCTCTTCTGTCTTCTATCTAGGATTTAGGATGATTACTTAATTTGAAGATAAATCAAGAACAAAAAAATTCTTAGAAGAAGAACACACTAGAAAAGAGTCACTAAAATAGCAAGATTAAAAAGGAGAGAAAAACTATTCAATAAAAAATAATATTTCTAGAGGAAAGGAAGAAAAGGCTCTCACTTAAGATGAATATTTGTGAAGAAAAAGAAAAGTCACCTGTAGAAAAACATTTTTAAAAGAGACAACAACTATTACACTCCAAGAAAAGGATTATTCAAATAAAAATGAAAAATAAAAATCATAATATATATATATATATAATAAACTAATACTTCATCAAATAATATATAAATTCTTTAGCGAGATAAAAAAAAAATTGTAACAAAGTAAATCTAATTCGTCCATATTGGTAAGTTATGTAACCTAAGTTATATGGATTAAAAATTGAATGACAACTCAATTTAATTAATGTAACACTATTTAAACTACTCATATTTTATTTATTTAATAAGTTTGTTTAATATATATATATATATATATTGTATTTTGATTTTTGAATTTGAATAAACTTTTTAAGAATTTATTGATTCTTACCGTCATTGTCAACTAATTTGGATTTTTGATTGCCTCTTTTATGATTTTACAACATAAAAGATTTATTTTAGATAAAATCTGAAAATCTGGTATATATATATATATGTATGTATGTTTGTGTGTTATAATTATCTTGTTTTAATTTTAAAAACAATTCAACCCAACTCTTGCAATTAAAATTTTCAATTCAACACTCTTAATTGGTTAACAACAATTTAGTAAGATGATTTCTTGTAATTGTAAGATTATGTTTAATGTTTAATTATTCATATTTTATTTATTTAATAAGCCATAAATTATTTCTTTATAATTATTTTTTTTCGAATTTATATAAGCATGTTAACCCACCTTGCATTTCGTGAAAATCACATTGAATTAAAATATTCGATTCAACTCGTTCTGTTAATTGACTAATAAAAGTAGGTTCAATAAATTGACCATTATGACTTTCTTAAAATAAATAAGCTTAATCCTACTAAATTTAAAAAATTACAACCATTCTTTTATATTGTCTATTTTATTATTTTTAAGCTGTGGCTGACTAACAAAGAATAGAAGAAATAACTTTTTCGAAAATAAATTTGTACAAATAAAACAAGTAAAATCTAAAGTTTAAACATTTTGGCCTGTTTACCACTAATCTGAAACTATCCCTATAATGCCACTCGTACATGTTGACCTTCGCAGAACTAACAGCATCTAAGTGTAACAGAAAAGTCTGAATAGAGTCTGTTTGAATAAACTCTCCAAGAAATAAAAAAAATTACGGTAAAAAAAACTCTCGTTTCTAAACTTTAACCAAACAAGTTCTAAATAACATTACTTAGTTGCACATTCTTAATTTTATATAGAAAATTCTAGTGGTCATTAGCAAAGAGAAAATAAATTACATAACAAAAATAGAATTGAACATTTACTTCTGGATCATTTCTCATTTTGTTAGATGCTCACCAAAGTAATCATGCACGCTAATAAATAGCATTATAGCAAACCGCTATATACACTAAATATTGGAACTTTACTATGTAGTTTCAATGAAAATAGCAAATATACCATTAGTATCTAAAAAAGCGCACAAGGGATGAAACCAGAAATAACTTTCACAGGACAATAAATAGACTATAGTCAGAGAGACAACCAATAACTGGCCTTGGTAGCTCCACCTGCTGACATTAGTTATAACCACAAAGGGTAGCCATGATCATCCCTAAAGAACACTTACATACTCCTACAATCCAAAAAAAAAAAAAAAAAAAAAAATTATGACCATGATGTATTTTTCACTTGCCATCATCTTCCTCACCCTCTTCGTCATCCTCTTGATCGTCGTCATCATCTTCAGAGTCATCATCATCCTTTCCCTGCTAATGAGAAAAATATGCAATTTATAATACACCATAAATATTTGTACATGCTATCTAAAAAGCATTTAAATAATTATAAATGCAAAACTCAAAAGACCCAAATCAATCGAGTTAAAAAGCTTACTCAACAAGCTGATTGGCAATGATTTAATGGTGAATATTATTATAGCACAAGACAAACTTAAATTATCCTGAATCAATCTTATAAAACAATAAGAAAATAGTCTGATATACATTTGATCTAGGTTAATTAAATGGTGAGATGTTGTATACGGAATTTTTTAATGTAAACTCAATGGTAGGTAAAATATTAGGCAAGGAAGTCTCAACAAGTGCTAAAAATGTAAAAATAAAAATAAAACGGGCATGCATTAGAAGATAATAGTATGAGTAGCAACAATAGTATTGAATTTTGATAAAGTCCAATAACATAAATTGATCCCCTTAGCCAACCCACCTAGTGAAAAAATTATATATATTTGGTCATTTTTTTTATTTTATAAGATTTCGAAAAGGAAAGATAAAATAATGCATTCATATTAATCAAAAATAATAATGCATTCATTGAAGCATCATTGCACAAGGCTCAAGAGCCCAAAACAGTGACTGCAATGAGCTCCTAAGCCTCGTATCATCCTTCATTGAACTGTCTCATTCTACTAGTGTAGAATACATACTAAACCAGAAACCATCACATTCCATAAAAGTATAGAATATAGATACATAACTCTACAACATTTGCTAATCCACTGACATTTTCTATAAAAAAAAAAGGGAAAAAAATTGTATATCAGTTACCTCATCATCAGCTTCATCCTCATCACCTTCCTCTTCGTCAGGTTCTTCCTGTTATAATATAATCAATTGTTGTAAGAAACAAAGGAAAGCAGAATTGTCACTAAAGAAAGAGAATAGAGTATCAAAACTGGAAGTCAACTTACATTGTTGAAATAAGTGAGTGGATTTGGCCATAAATCATCCTTGATTAACTCTGCCACCTGCTATTTTGAGATAAATATCACTATGTGGTACAAATATACAAACTAAAAAATGTTCAATTTTTATAATAGAAATGGAAGATCAACAACAGGATGCACAACTAATTATACTAACCACCAGACAAAATATACCTCATCATGGATGTCATCCATATCATCTTTCTGCTCAGTGTCACTAAACCAACTAAAGAAGCTGCATACATTAGCAAAAAGAAAATCAAAATAATGATTTATTTGTTCCATCAAAGAACAGACAATTTATACATAAAAATTATTAATTGATCACTGAAAAATGAAGGGTAAAACAAAGTGGTCTATTTATTCATTTTTATATTTAGAATATTGTAAGGTAGAATCATACATTAGTAGATTGTCAAATAATTGAATTAATTTCCAGATTTCAACTAACAGAATAGTAGTAGAACACAACTATTCAAAAATCAGTGTTCATTAAGTTATAACTTCATAGAAAATATTCATTAAGTGGAGAAATCAGCACAATATATAATCAAATATAAAAAATAAAATAAAAAATCTGATAGCAAACACAGTATTAAAATGTACTATAGTTAACCATTTATTGATAGTTGATAAATCCACAATCCTTTGTAATGTTAACAGAGCTTATTGTAATCATGTCATGCATATTTCTTAGCTCCCCTCAAGGACCCGGTAACCAACAAGTGAACTTAAACAAACAAAAAATACCCATTGATATGTGATACTGCTTAATCATACATAAACAAGAATGGGATGTCATAATAATGCTACTTAAACAGTGCCTGTAAATGCATTGCTTTCTCTATTTTCAATATTCTCAGGAAAAACACTTGAATATATTTAGGCACCAACCTGACATCAGTAGGAGCCCGCTTGTTCCCATTTTTCTCATGACTAACTCCATTAGGTACGCCCTTCATGTTTAAGGATTAGGATTTCAGAAACAAAACAGAAGTTGTACAAACTGATAGAAGAATACCAAAAGTGACATTCATAACTTTTTACCTTGCCCTCTTTCCATTTTATGGGAGTAGCAGTAACCTTTGTTGTTCCTTCCTCGAGGAAGGTATAAGTCTTTACAATTTTTGTATCCTCGAAATAGGGATTGGCATTGAAATTCTAAACAAAAAAAATCACCACTGGTTACTATTCAATTAACTTTACAGTTAAGACAAATTTCTAAAACCATTAAGTGATTTGCAAAACACTTCTGTGAGGTATGCACCAAGGGAACAGAGGACACACAACTTACAAAGGTGATGGAGTAGCCTGATTTAACATCTTTAAAATCTTCAACCTCCAGAGAACTCAAATACTTAAATATCTATCAAAAAAAAAAGCAGAGGGTAAGTAATGAATTAGAATTACTCATCAGGTGTCTATAACCAAAGGAACAACAATATTCAAAAGTACTTCCACAGGGAACCTTAAAAATAAGATCTCAGGTCTCAAGTAATTACAAAGAAGACTATAAAAGTAAAGACATTACATGAATAAACAACCTAGGTACTTAATTTAGTAAAGCTTAGTACTTGTACAAGGACAAGTCAATTTAGTGAAACAATATTCCAAAATCGGCCATCAACTAAACTGCTATGCCTTTCAGCTTTTCAAAAGGCGTATTTTCACAAGCACAAAATTCTTGTGTACAATAGCAACCAGAACAACTTACAAGGGCTTCAAATGCTGTTTAAATAACACCATCCAAATAATACCAAATAACGTATAAGTGCATATCATGACAGACAAACTCAAAAAGCCAATCCATAAAAAAGAAGCCATACCTTCTGATCTTCGTCGTTCAAAAGATCACCGAGAGCAGGATGACTCAAAAACTGCACAAGCACAACAACAATAGTAAACAAAACATTCCCAGAATCATCAAAAAACAACAATTTCACAATTCAATTAACAACACACGCGCACACATAAACGAAGCATGAACTCACAGCAGTTAACCAGAAATCAGGAATAGCCTTGATAATATCATTCCTCTTATCATAAACAGGCTTCCGTATCTCATTATACTTCTGCTCTATCTCGAGGACTTTGTCGCTGGCTTCCTCATTGATCTAAAACACAAACAACAGGTCAATTCAATCACGCTCCAAAACCACAAACAGATAATCAAACACAACCAATCACATTGGAGGCTCCGAAAGCAGAGCCACATTTCGAACATCATATAAAGCCTCGAAAACGCGAAGGGATCCGAATTACGCGAAATTGAAAAGCGAGGGCGAGGGGAGAATTGAAGAATTGGTACCTTCTCGAGCTCGTCTTGGATCTCCTGCAATTTCTCGATGGAGAGGACGAGTTCTCCGTCGATGTCGTCGAGGTTCTCGCCCTTGTCGGAAACCTTCAGCTTCTTGCTCCTGTCGGCCACCATTGTTTTTGGGCCAAAGGGTTATTGCGTCGTAGGTTTCGTAAAACCCTAGCGCAGTCTAGGTCGAGCGAGTGAGGGAAGTGAAGTGAAAGGGTTAGGGTTTTGGGGGTTTATATGTGTCGTTCGTGCGTCACCGCACTGCGCGGGGTGCACCAAATAAATCAACGACCGCGTGACACCTGTCCGTTTCAGGGGTGAAAGCGTCCTTTCGCTTGCAGGGGACTTGTTTGCTTTGGATTGGTTAATTATGCTTGGGTGAGGATTAAGATTTGCTAATATACTAGTACTATGTGCTTTTCTCAGAGAAATTAAAAGGATTAAGATACGTTTTGATTAGAATTGAGATTAAGACACGCAGTTGCATACTCTTTTTTCTCTTCCTTTAAAAAAAATTAATTAAAAAAAAAAAAAAAACAATCTTCATGCTTTTTGTTTATACGAAAGATCTTGTCAGAAAAGGGAAAGTTTGTAACAGTAGTAATTTTTATCTTTTAAAGGAAGTAAGCTTTGTAACTTCTCTTTTGTTGAATATTTGATTTTTATTTTGTTGTTGAATTTTATTTTTTAAAATTAATTAATTAATTAAATGTTTATCGACTTTGATATGTATTTTTAAATAAATTAAATTTTAAATTTATTGCATTTTTTTAGAGAGAAAAAACTTAAAATATTTCATTCACAATGGGTTAAAAAATACAGTTGGACATGATATTAAAATTATGGTGCTAGTAAATAGTCTAGACGTTCTAGCTGAAGTATGAACAACTTGATTAGTTTGTCTCCTAATAAAATTCACCGTTAAATTTTGATATTTGTTTAATAAGGTTCTACACTCATGTATAATTTGTCCTTATTCAGCTTGTTGTCCTTCTATTGATGGATATCCTCCACCACTCTTTGTAATCTGATTCTATGGTAATTTGTTGGTGATTTAACTTTGAGAGCCATATGATAGAATGAAGTATAGCTAGAGCTTCTATTGATGGCTTGCCCATATGATGTTCTATTCGGGCTTTGATGAAAGATCCTTTTGAGTCTTTGATGCATAGTCCTAGCGCCCAAAGCTTGTGTCCTCCTGGAATAAGACTGAATCAGTGTTGCATTTTAGCGTGCCTGGAGGTGGATTTTTCTAGCCTTGGGTTTGTTGGTCCAGAGTTATGGGCCTATTAGATTGCTTGTTGGATTGACTTGTGCATGCATGCTTCCATTCATGTAATGAATATTGAGACATGCGGTTGAGTGTTTAGATTAGACCAGACTTTCCATAAGGTCCAAATGGTAATAGTAAATTCTTCTTGCTGACTAGGAGTGAGGTTATGGAGGATTTTGAATAACACTTCATTTAGAATTTCTCCCTCTTCTACTATATCCTCCATGGCTTCCCATAGACCCCTGATTTCCCACAATTTTTGTGATTCTACACAGCCAAGTATTAGGTGCCAATCACTTTCTACATTAGACTCACATAAAGCGCATGTGCTCTCGCAAGGGACTCCACACATTTGTAAACGTTGTCTTGCAGGAAGACAAGATCGTAAGAGACGTCACATGAGGATTTTCATGCGTTGGGTACCCAAAGATGTTGGTTGTTTATCATCTTCTCCATTGCATGGTAGTAGGCTATTTTAACTGTGTAGACTCCTGCGTTGTTAAACCTCCATATATATAATGGTGTCTTGTTTGTTTGGGTGCAGTAGGGGAATGGACTTTGCTTATCGCATTCTGACTAAAGAGTGCATCTAATAAAGGTTAGTTCCAAGTTTTGTGTTCCTGATCAATGAGGTCTCACACCATTAAAGTTTCTTGACCTTGTGGACTCAAGCTACAAACATAAGGGTTATGGTTATTGTAACCCTTTTTCTAGATTACATATATTAATCCTAATTAATTAATTAGGTTACTAACATTTATATTATTGTGGATAATATGTAGAAAGAAAATATTTAAATAAATGAATGAATGTATTTAATTAAAGTTTTAAATCCCAAGTGTGCGATTCAGCGGTAGGGGTTAATCCACACTTAAGTAAGGTCAGGAGTTCGAATCTTGCCTTGTATATGCAGTCGCGTTAAATCTTGGGGCCAGCTATCCTACCTTTTATCAGCGGTAAATACTCCAGGAACGAACCCAAAAAAAATTAAAGTTTTATTGTATAAAAGTCACTAGATATTACAAACCATTTTTTTTTTAAATTATATCACAACATAATGAAATAAAAACCTCCATCCTATGCTATGGATTTTTGCATCTGACCTTCTAACTACACATCCAATTTTTCTACATCATGAGATCTCTAGTATCTAGGTTTAAAAATATTTATGGGATTAGACATTTAATTTCATTCACATCTCATACAAACAAATCATACAAGTGTATAATAAGTTTATACAAGTATTAATACACACACAACAACTTAATTAGATATTCCACTAATAAATGCAATATGTTTATGAAATGCAGATTTTGACTCAAAATATACTTTTAAAAATTATTTTGACTCAATACTCCATGGAGATTTTCCCTTTTGAGTATTTAGTGAAGCTAGAGTTTAACATCACTCTGTCCAGTAATTCGGCAATGCCCCACTAAACGCGAATAAGTAGACAATAGTCGGAGTGTTAGTGCACCCGTCAGGCTACCACGACACAAAATCAAATAAAGACTGGCCATCTATGGGATTACCCATGCCCAAACACTCCCTAGACCAAAGGCCTATCCCCACAAACCAGAGGTCCCGTCTTATCCATTCTACTCAAACCCCATTTACTATCTTCTGACATTGGTAGCATAAAACAAATATCTCAGTCAGACTTTCACAACCATATCAAGCTCTCTCTCGCTTTATCCTTTCCTTTATCCATCTCATACGGTCAACTGTCCTTGACAGTACCCACTATCACAATCAATCTCTTGTCACCAATGTCTCAGATAGTAAAACATAAAGAAAAGAATTCACGTAAAAAGCATCATTTCAAAATTACAAAATTCATTCTTATTCTATCAAATATCCTTGATACAAAATTCAATTCTCGATTATTTTATTTTTGAAATTCTTTTCTTTTCCCCAAAAAATCTTTTGAGTTAAAAACCACATTATGCAATATGTAATATGCTTTACTATTAATCTATCATTTCAAAAATTAATCTCAATCAAACTTTTCAAATACAATTCAAACAATTTCAATAGCAACATTCAATCATAAACAATCAACCACTTCAAGATTTCAACCTTAAAACATCAAATTTATCAAAAAGTACAATCAAAAACCATATCAACTAACCTAAGGTTCCATGCCTATTTCTCCAAACATGCTAGTTTTCTCCTAATTTCCTTGATTTCTTCTTTTCCTACTTCTTTTTCTTCCTCTTATCTTCTTCCTTTCTTCCTCTTTTCTTGAAATTTTAGTTGTTTACTCCTTGTTTTCCTCTTTGCTTTTGGAAAAGATGGACTATTTTTGGGTGTTTCTTTGACATTGATTTATGTCTTGTTGTTAAGGGTTGTTGGTGAACTTTTTGGTGTGATTTCTCCTATTTATACTAGTCTCCACCTCCATTCTTCAATCTTCTAGATTTGTAGATATTTCTTGATATTTCCTAGGACATTTTAATAACATAGTGATTAGGTGTCCATTTTGTAGATATTTATAGGACTTTATAGAATTTCTTTGAATTATTTAAGTATCTTAATGATTAAGTTTCCAATTTATTTAATAATATGGTGATGAGATGTCCACTTTCTAGAATTTTGTAGAGTTATTTAATTAGTTATCTTAATGATTAAGTTTTCAATTCATTTTAATCACATGGTGATTAGGTGTCCTTTTCTTTTTTGTAGAATTTTGTAGATCATCCTAAAATTTTGTAGAATTATTTAAATATCTTAATGGTTAAGCATCTAATCTATTATAGATTTCTATTTTGTAGAATTTTATAGAACTTTCTATAATTATTTGAATATCTTAATAGTTAAGCTTCCAATCCATTTAATCATTTGATAATTAGATATCTACTTTGGAGAGTTTTGTAGAACTTTCTAGAACATTATAGAATTATTAAAGTAACTTACAAATTAATTATAATTTTGAGAAACTAATATCAACATTAGAATCTTCACCATTAAAAGTATAAACTTTTGTCTCTTGATCATCTCTTAATTATGCTAATTAATATTAATTAAATAAATTAGAATTTGCTTATGTGTCACAATTTGATTGGTTGAGACTTGTATTTTAATTTCACCTAACTATACATTTTTATTAATTATTCTAAGCATACTATATTGATGATAAAATTATTTATAACCTTTTGAACATTTTTCCATAATTTTCTTGCTTAAGGTTTTAGCAGAATAATTTTCTCAAGTTAAATCCTTAGAGAATTTCTATAAATTTTAATTTAGATATTTTCTCTCTTAACTGTATTTATTCTTAATTTATACTCAATAAATTATTATTTAAGTTACAAATTACTTAAATTTTCTTAAATTGAGTTTCTCATATTTTATAGTGTGCTCTCAACGCTGTCCGAAAAATAGTCAAATTAGATAATAAAATATATGTTATTGAATTTAGAAGATCTTGTTAGATAATGCTACATAAATTTAATTCACAGTAAATTACGTAATATTTAATATATATAATAATTTATAGAAATTATATAGATAAATAGTTACAAAATTTAGGATGTTACAGTTATACCTTAACCATGAGTCTTTCCATACATTTATGCTTGCTCCATTTCCAACACACCAACGAGTTCCTTCCTTCACTAGAACCTGTGAAGCATGGATGTTATGCCATACATATAGCTTGGTGAAATCCTTATGATATATATACATGTTGTTTCATTCATTGTTGTGTATGTTTCTATTCTTAATGCTTGCCTTGGATTGATTCTCCTTGCATGATATAGGTTTCATTGGGTATTGGAAAATAACCTTTGAAACTAGCTCTAAAACAAATGCCTAGTGGGAAATGTATCTAGGAATGGAGCTTGGCCCATTAGTAGTCTTAAACCCTAGCCCGTAATGCGGGTGTAGATATTGGGTACTCAAGGAATTGATATTCAATATCCGCACCTAGGCTCTTGCTCTAAGGGATTAGGTTTGAGTAAACTCATGGGTTGACTAAGCAATGTTTGTAACAAGAGATTAAGGAT